GAACCACACACTCCCTTCCCCTTTTGCCCCTCTCGAAACACGTGGTAAGTGCATGCCATTTGTATCTCACAGATACTCGAGCTCACAGATACCCCTACAGGCTGAGTGATTGTGAGCGCTCGCTGCGATCGGTGGATTATTTTTAGTACGGCTTATTTGGCCAAGCGGGTTCTTGGCTATTTGGCAAGTGCACTTGGGAAACGGTAATTTGTCGTCGAGTCGCGTTCGTGACTGGAATCTTTCGAATCGTACACAACCCGTTAGAACGGTTTCCATTTAGTTATTATGCCTATTTGAATTTATGCCCCTGCAATGCTGCTCCATTGAAATCCGACTGGGCTCGACCTAATTCAGTGGTGTGGTGGAAAGTCAGCCCGTTAATTGCACGGGGAGGCTAGGTGTCACTGCGATATCACCTGCGAAGGTGGAGTGCATTTTAATATCAATAAAACTGGCTAAGGTTACATGCAAATGCATGAGCTACTAGGCTAGTGGCAAGGTCTAGGCCGGACTCGGCGTGGACTTGGAAACTAATATAGATCAGTGGGAAAATAAGTCATTCAGTTGGTTTAATTATGTCATGGGAAAGCTAATCTATTTGTAGTTTTGAAAGGATTGTAAAAACAGTAAAACCCAAGCTCCGTGGCATAAAACAATTTGATGAGGAGTAATCACTCTACAAAATGAGAAACTATGTGTATTTTGAAGTGCCTCACTTACATTGTGTTTCTAATTAGAGAAATTGTTTATCACTTAATGTCAATGCCACACCTACAGCATTTTAATTATATATATTCCTTATTATGTACTTAAAATAAGTTAAGTTAAGTTATACTTAAATTACGTTAAATAAAGCAAAAAAGAGTAACAACATTGAAATTCTTAGTAATTAGACTTTAATGGGAGAAGAATAGCTGACAGAAAATAATTACTAACGCCTTTTAAAGTTCATAGGTTACATTGACTAATTCATTCGCTATATATTTATTTTACATACCAACAAGGACTAAACATTTACGAGCATATCCCAAATATAATGCATCCAAAACTTAGCTTGGCTTCAGTGCATCGTAAAACTTTAATCCGAAAGATTAAATTCATTTAGACTCTTTCTTGCGATTAGGAAAGCATTTCTTATGTGTCCTCTTTAATTGTGTTTTACCGTAAAATATAAAAAAAAGGTTATAAATACTATTACAGACTTGCTTAACCTTTAAGGTCGACTTAAAATGTGTAAAAACTTTGCAGTGGTAGCACAGTGGTCATAATTAAGATACTACGAATTAGTTAAGACATTGAACATGCCACCAATTACTTTAGGTAAGTCCCAAGTCATCGGGCTTAATCGGTGTTAATTGGTGACCTCCACTCTGGACCCCTGAAAAGGCGACCATCCTGCACTTAATCCATCATTTTGGCAACAAGATAATCATTCGACTAACGCTAACTTGACAATTGTCTTGAGTGTTTGCTCACCTTGTCTTCCGTTAATTTTTATGTCACTAACTTTATGTCAGCTGATGGCAGCTTTTTTACATAAGCCAATTTCATTGTCCAACTGAGCGAACGGGCATCGAAAGGCCGCGGGTCAGTGGAAAACTAAAACTGAAAACTGCAGCTGGCGATGCAGCGGCGGAGCGTTTTATCGAAACGTAACGCCGTGATTTCAATATATTGAACAATAGCATTTCTTATTTCTCATTTCACAGCTCACAGTTTTCATTTATTAACTAATTTCGGATTTATGTAATCCCCAAGTGGCAGGCCTCGGTCTCGACCGATTACACGCAACCACAGTCCGAGGTCAATGATCAGTGAAATTCACTTTCAAAATCAAAAAACAAAATCAAAATCCGTTGAAAAGTGCTTACTCCCAAGCGCTAATGTTTCTCCCAGGGCGGAAGCCCAAACGATTGCCATGGAGATTAATTTGTCAGATCAAAAACTGAAGTTGAGTGGGGAGGAGATTTTAGGGTGTTCCAAAAACGGGCACAGCCACCGCCCAAAAACTGAAAAGCCATCATCCCATCATCTCATCATCATCATCATCATCATTGGCAGCACACACACCTTCATTAGGCGGGCTGCATTTTACCATTTTACCATTTTACCACACTTGAAATCGCAACACAATGAATAAATCTGCATAATTAATTCCCACCTAAGATGCCGAGTTAATGAGTTGGGTGTTTGCACCGAATTGAAGGCAACAAACACGCACAGGTTGTTGACTTCTTCAATGTTTCGCCAGCTCACTTTCGATTTCGATTGCGGTACGGTTTGGGTCCAGCTTGGACACACATAAAATCCACATGCCGCCTAGATGTATTTTTAATTATGGCCATTTCACGTGGCTCTCAGAGATCCCAAATCCCAATCCCAATCCCAAACCCCAAATAACTGGAAGCCTGAAAAGCTGAAGCAGAAGCAACCCCGTTAAGTGGAGCTTTGATTTGCATGCGAAATGTGCCGAAAATTGCACAACCCTGATGTATTTTTAATTATATTTGCCAGGCCCAATTTGTAAATGTCATTAAACGCAGCTGGCCTGCATTTAGTGGCAAGTTCAGTTCCCAACGGACCCAAGGACAGGCCCATTGTTATCGCCCCGGACATCTCTCAGTTTTTATCAAAAGGCTGTTTAATGTATTGAACACGAATCGAATCGTATCGAATTCCATTTTCGTTTTAGTTTCAGTGTCAGTTTCAGATTCAGTTTCAGTTTCAGTCTCCAGTACCAGTACCAGTCCCAGTTTGGGTTTTCGGTTTTCGGTTTTCGGCTGTCGGTTTTCAGTTTCTTTCTCACCATAAAACACTGTTGCCAAAAAAAAAAAAGAAGACAACGCAAAACGAATGAACGCACCCTGGCAGAAACTGGGTTATAACCTTGAAATCTCGCAGACAAAAGAAACGCTTTTAAATTCCAGCTTCTCAATAAATTCAACAGACTTTGACTGACTCTGGGGAAGAAAGCCGAATTAATGCGACAGGTCGCAGCCCTGCCAAAAAATTAATTCGTAATCTATTCAAATGTATGCTGAGCTTAGCCCAATGAAATGCTAAACACCGACTCGGGATCGTTTTGAAATCGCACAGCACACGGCGTGTGTGTGTTGCCAAAGTTGCAGGCGGCTGCATTTCAAATTGCCAAAGGTCAGGCCCCACTGCATCGCATCTTCTTCCATCTGCCCCACCGGACAGTCCAGTTTTGTGCCACCGGCGGGTGCTGATTTCTGTACTGTAGATCGGTGGTGGTGGTGCTGCGCTGTGTCGTCATCGTTGTCATCACGGTTGCCCCACCGAAAGCCGTTTGGCAACAACTGGCAGCGGGGAAAAAAACAATTAACTATATAACGAAAATTTGTTCAAATTGTGACTGTGCGAGAGTGAAAGAAGAGAGGAAATCGAAAACTGGATTTATAATTTTTACGGCCAAACACGCAAGAAAACGAGCCAAGGTCATTGCGAAGAAATTGTGAGGGAAACGTCCACGGAAACAAATTTTTCTGGGAAAACAAACTGTTTTGAAAAATACTTTAGTAAGTATTAACTTGTAATTATTCTGGGCATTTCTTAAGTTAAACTTTTAGGCAATCTAAAGAGATAAAATGCAATAAAATTTAATCCTGAATCTTCAACTTCATTTTTCTTTCTTTTCTTTGTTCATTTGACTTATTTCTTCTTAAATAATTTATATAAATTTGTACAATAAAATATGTATAAAAATAAAACATGATTTCAGAGAAATCCATATCTCAGCTATAAGGCTACTGAATACGATGAGTAGTTCTCATCTCATCCCATTTTTTTCCTGTGTCTTGGATTCGTGGAAGTGGAAACAGCAGCGACGGTTGTTTTTGTTGACTGTTTGGCCGATCTGGCAGAACCACTTTGGAGTTATTTGCTGTTTTGCCCACTTGCAATTGCGTCGATGAAGATCTCTTCATCGCACTGGGAGGAGGAGGATGGCGATGATGATGCGACGTGTTTTGTTAAACATGTTTTGCTCACTGGCAGAGACCGATACCCAAAACCCGAATCCGGTTGCTCAAAAATGCGTAAAGTGGGACGATGTCGCTCCTTTACAAGCCGGCCGACCAGAAAAGACATTATTAAAAGCCCGACAAGTGGCCGGGCAAAATGCCAAAACAAAAACACAAAATCAATTAACGGCATTCAATAGCGGCACAATCCCAGTCACTGTTTTCGTGGCCCCGTTGGCAGGTGTTGATCAATAAAAATGCAACTGGCGACTGGGCACCTGGCCCATCGCCACCGATCTCTGCGATCTCCAATCTGCCGATCTCTGATTTTCGGTCCACAGATTGTTGCGTAACCATTTCATAGGTTCTTTGCGCAACCGATTCGAAAACATTGACCCAGGCACCTTGATTAGGGCGTTCTAATCAGCGAAGATTTGATTTGAACTTGAGGTAGCCGAAAATGGGGTTATCGGGAAGGGCAGACCAGCGCACTGAGAAGAAAATAGTTTAATTTTTACAACATTCTCTTGCTTATTTCTTTTTCTTGCTTGTTTAGTTTCTCAGTTAGCTAATTTATAAAAACAAATATAATAAGAATGTAATTCAGCTTAAAAGATTGATGTTTCCATTACTTCTCTGGAAATCAGATCATTTGCTCTACATTATATTTGCCTTTCTTTTTTAGTAAATGAGGCGGAAAGTGAATTACTGATTAGTCAGCTAAGTAGAGCTCAGACAGAGAAAAACTAGTTTAACCAAGAATAAACGAATTTCATTTGAAAACGAATCAAAACCATTCTAACTGAATATTATAAATTGCCATAAAAGTTTAACAGTTTTACTAGTTTCTCTTAAAAAATTAGTTATTTTGGATTTTAAGTAGGCATAGTTCGTGTTAGAATAATTTTTTAAAATATACCACACGATTCTTTCTTTTTCATCTTCGGAATAGATTTTTCTTTAAGTGTTTAATGTAGAATGGCAACGAGGTGGTTGATGATTTTTTCGCCTGAGACTTAGTATTCAATCAAGTAAGCGACGTGCAGGAAACTACTAGAAAAGTTAAGACTTCTTCCGCCATGCAAATGAGGAGTGGAATATTCTTAGCACTATGTCTATGGTTATCTGTGGTGAGTAAAAAGAGTAAGTCAAAGAAGAGCTTGGAATGTATTTCAATATAATATATACTTGATAGAATGAAAGCCAAGCCCTACTGGAGCACGAGACGGAGTCGATCAATAAGTGCATTAAGAACTATGGGGGACTAACTACGGAGATTGCTGAACGACTGCAGAGGTTCAAGCAATGGTCGGATGGTTACGAAGAAATCCCATGCTTCACGCAGTGCTACTTGACTGAGATGTTCGATTTTTACAACAACCGGACTGGTTTCGATGCATCCGGAATCGTGAAAGCGTTTGGAAGTCCTGTCTACGATGCCTGCCGAAGGAAACTGGAGCTGCCAGCGAGTTCTAGCCAGAGCAGCTGTCAACATGCCTACGAGGGATTCCACTGCATCACCAATGTGAGTAGACGATAGATGATAAGCCAGTCCATTGACATTAGAAGGAGTGTTCCGGTATTTTCATAGCTTGAAATCAAATAAAACTCAACTAAAACGAAGTTGCTTCTATGCTGAGAAGATCAACCAAGAAGAGTTGTTATAACCTGCATCCTGTATATCCCTTGCAGATGGAAGATCACCCGTTCACGTTGATTGAAAACATGGCGAGCCTCTCACAGTCAGCGAAGAATGCGATGAAGGACTGCCTGCAGGATGTGCACCTCGACGAGTGGAAGAGCTTCGCTGCCTTCGCCCACTATCCGGTTAGGGAACCGATTCCCTGCTTCACTCGCTGCTTCATCGACAAGCTGCACATCTTCGAGGAAAAGACGCGTCTCTGGAAACTGGGGCTCATGAGGGAACACCTGGGCGTTCCACCCAAAGCAGCTCGCATTAGGACATGCCACCAACAACGTGACAAGGACAGATGTGCCACCTACTACAAGCAGTTCACTTGCTATGCCATCGCTGGCTAAGTGAATCGCAACCTATCCCAAAAACTAAAAACAAACTTTCAAAAAGGTTGAATAAATTGTTTAAATAAATTTAATAACTTTAAATTAATCCAATCGTATTCTACAAAATATTCTATATTATTACAAAATATTTTTGATAGAATGACTTATTAATATGAATTCCAAACCAATAATACCATTGCGATTTCAAGATTGCCCCCTGTTCTCCACCCCCTGCAGATTGCCATTTACTCGCTCCCAGCACATGTACTCCTGGTACATCCAGGAGCACTTATTGTTGGCCTTCTGCCTCTCTTTCTCACTTAGGCGGCAGTTTCTGTAGCCACTGTAATCTGGAGTAGATGCCTTATCTTCGTTCTCGGTTGGACCGAATGCCTGCTTCCAGTTGTCCAGCCTCCAGTTGCCAGCGGAGTCGTAGAAACCCATGGCATCGGCGAAGCACTGGAAGAGGCATGGAATGGGTTCCTCGAGCTTCATTTTACTGTACTGCAGCAGCTGCACATTGGTAGAATTCAATTGGCGGGAGCACTGTAGCAAAGTGCTTAAGCTGGATCCACCATGCATCTCGGCCTGCTTGAGGCACCTGAGTCCCCGGTAGGCGAAAGTGCAGCCATCGGTCGACATCCTCCTCAACTCATATCTGCAGTAGTTGTAGACATCGGCTCCTAGCTCCTCGGTCAGTTGCTTGAGCTTCCACTTGTTGGCCTCTATGTCGAACCAGCCCTTTTCTCTCGCCAAACACCTCATCAAGCATGGCAGTTCCTCCCGCGTCCACGACGGATACCGCTCTAGCTTTTGCAAATCGTCGGCGATGCTCTCCGGAGAGCTCACCTCACGCAGGCACTTCTCCAGCATCTGGGCATCGCTAGACAGATCAGCTAGAACCTAAAAAGTTAGTAAGTAATTCATAAATATTATATATATATATAACATAGCTCTTCTTATATTTAGCATGTCCAATTCTCCCAAAAAATACCATTTTAAACTGACATTTTATATCGCGTAAAAGGGAAGTTCAATTGACATAATCTCGTCTGTGAGCTAACCAATTTAAAATACAAAACATTTATCCAATAGGAACATAGTATTAAGCTGACCTGTTATTGAGCAGAATACAAACTTAATTACTTTAAGTAGTAACAAAAGGCGGAGGGATGTTAGAAATGTAAAGTAAAGTTCTTCTGTTAAGTGCCAAATTAATTGTTCTCTTAAATATAAGGAAGTTCAACTGATTAATCTCTCCTATGAAATGCTCACATGTCGTGTATACAGTTGATAAGAATGCTTGATTAAATGCCTAAGTTAATAATTATGAAGTACTCAATTATCAAGAGAATAAGTTTGTAGTTTAGTCTGAGTCATTAGAAGCTTGTTGAAAAATACAAATTTAGAAAAATTCGTTCTATTGAAAAAGTTGCATAGAAAAGAGAATACGAAAACTTAGATCGTATTATTAACTTTATAAGAACTTGTAATTAACTTTGATCTTTTAAAATATTTAGATTCGTGAAGCAAAGCTAAAGAAAGATATCTTAGTTAAATCTTTTTATTACATTTCTCAGCAATCTTGAAACTCTTAAAATCCCAAACAGATTTATTTACTAATTACAAAATCCCAAGAGAGCTCTTATGCCTTCACAGCAACTATAAGTTTTAAGATGTTTATGCATTCTAAGCCTTACCTGGCTGGAGATCAGGAACAGACTGACTACAACCGGCCACGGGGTACTCATCTCTCTGCGGGCAATGCACAAACTGAACTAGCTTCGAAAACATCCGCCGGACGGAGTCAACGATCAGCTGCCAGCGATGCAGCGGAGTGGAGGTTATCAGCGAGTCGAGATTACGGCTGTGGGTTCAACGAATGCCAGTTCATCCGCCGGACAGTGGATGTGGATGTGGATGCACAGAACAGAACCCAAATCGCTTGGTCTAGGTCAGTTCTACTCGGACTGCATACTAAACTCTGAAAGTCTGGTCGAACTTAGATTTAGAAAGCCGAATAAGTCTGGGAAACATATAATAAACAACGCAATAAATCTCAGGAGGTTATGAAACCTTGTTTGCCATGCAATTAGCAAAAAATGTTGACTCGTAATCTGTTAAAAAACAAAACGAAATGTGATCGTTTCGGTTTTGTTAAGGCTTTGTGTAGCCGTTCGTGTGGGTGATTAACATAGCAAATAAATAGAAATGGTTTTAGGAATTGTTAAAATATGTACATTATTTAAAGTGTTAATAAAAACTCTATAAAATTTTGAAACTATTTTCGAAGAAGGAATAAGTGTCTGTTTTTGTTTTTACTAAAAACCATTTCTGGAAGTTAAATGGAAAACTTTTACAAATTAAAATGGTTTATTTCTTTAGTTTGTTAAAAAGTAGAAAAAAAGTGAATTAAAAGAACGAGATTGTTTAAGAATAGTCGTAATTTTATCAAATCTGGAAAGTAAAAATCTTTATTTCTTTAGTATTCTCAGAGCTGTACAGTAGTAAGAGAAGGACTATATCACATATCATTTAGGCAAAGACCTTGCGCACCACGTGGCGGTTGATGGGGAGCCAGCAGGAGAAGACGCGGTTGGCCCAGGTGCAGACGTCGGACTCGGCCTCGTTGTGATCGATGCACTTCTCCAGACCATGTTGCACGGTGGACAAGTCCTTGCTGCTCTTGGACGTGAACTGGGCGATCATTGCCTTCTCATCGTAGCCCTTCTTCTCCGAGAAGAGATCGAGCTTCTCCAGGAAGCACTTGACGAAGCAGCTGGTGCGTCGGTGGGCGGGGAACTCGAAGTTCAGGTACTTCTCGTAAATGTCATCCGGCACGTAGTTGTCTTCGCGGCAATCCTCGAAGGCTTTCTCGGCGTCCTCGTGATTCTTCAGCTGGAACTTGGCTGCCGTCTGCAAATTAAGGTAGGGGTCAGGAGTCACCTCCATTAGCAAGGGCAACCACTGGGCACTGACCTGGACCACCAGCAACGTGGCAACGGCTGCGATCAGGAGCGAGTGGGACTGCATTTCTGGCTCGGACGAGGGCTCAAGTGCGAATGTGCCAACGGGTTAAGCGACTAAGTCGCGCCAAGATTTTCCATTATCTTATATGCTCTCGCTCGATGGCCCACACGAATTTCTCAGGTCGGACCAGATTGTGGACCGGAGTTAGCACAGTGAACACCCCACTTGATAGAATGCCAGTTCAAGAATGGAAATGCATTTTTAATAGGGGTACATATTTATTATGTCTTTTGCTATGCTAAAATAGCGTAAGATACAGTTTAGGTATTCAGTAACTTGGAAGTCTCATTTAAGTATTTATATAATTATATTTTTATTTTAAATCAAAAATAGTTAAATAGCTTCCTCTTTTTAATAACAAAGTGTTTAATGGTTCTTACTTAATTTAGACGGAATTCCATTGAGGTTATTTCAAATCTTCAAAATCTGCAGTTTGTTTTACCGAAAGACCACTGTGCTAAAACACCAAACCCGTTGCTGAGTGGTTCGCTTTGGTCGGTGGTGCGGCGGTGTCGCTCGGTGGTTGGCTCTTGTGGTGTGGTGTAGATGGTGGTGTGGCACCCTTGCGTCAGTTTGCTCTTAAAAAACGAAGCAAACAGATCGCCGGAGTTAAGTGAAGCAGTCGCAGTGGCGGCGGAGGGAAACTGGCAACTGCCAAACTGGTTTCCATGAAGCCGAAGCCGAAGTCGAAGTCGACGGCGCTGTCAACGGCATCGTTGTTGGGCTGAGCTGGGATATGGACGGTTATATAATCGGCAGTGGTGCGGCCGTATAATGGTTACGTTTTGCTTAAGCCAATTAAACGATTTGTTTTCGTTCCACAAATTCACTTGGCCTGTGCCACACATTTGTGTGGCTCTGAAAAATGTGTTCGGGTCCGTTTGCCATTTGTTGTTTGCCTCAATCGCCTCCTTTTTTTACGCTGCACCAAATTCTAACACCTCGACGCCAGCAGCTTGCTGCACACTTCCGCATCCCAGACAAATTTTTTTCACACATTTATTTGCCCACCTGCCACACACAGAAGGGGCGCTGGACTCCAAAAAAACAAAACAAAAACACTTTGTTTACTGCTTTTTTGTGTCACGCGCCGGCAGCCCTCGAAAATAAATTAAATAAATTATTCAATTGAATTTATTTATTACCGACCAATTTGGCCGCTCAGCGGACTTTTGCATTTGTGTAATTAACGGCAGTTCGTGGAATATTGCGGAATATTGCCCAGATTGCAAAGGGCCTTTTGGCCAGGTCGAAATACGGTGTCCTGGTGTGCTGGTGTCCCGGTGCCATCTGCCCACTCAGCCAAACATCCTGGCCCATCGAGGCCCTCCAGCGACGTCCGTTTTGTTTGGCTTTTACTTTCGCGGCATGTCAATGACATTGGTGTGGGCTCTTGAACCCATTCAGGAGGGACACATCGGCCATCAGGATGCACTCGGAGAAATATTACTGCTAAAATGCACCCTACTTTGCCCATAGAGCAGCATAAATCTTCTTTTGATCACCTTGTAAAATCAAAATTTATAATTGGGCATTAAAATTCATCTTAGGTTTTGCCAAGGTTTTACACTTTTATTTGGATTTGGATTACCTATTAAGAAATAATTTGAACAACTGAAAACAAAACTTTTTAGTCCCTCAAAAAATTGTTGAATGCATCTTGTAAACTGAAGATATTAATCTCAAGATCTTCGAATCGAAATAACATAAAACTTATTGCTTAACAGTCGTCAAGCATTTTGCAAGGCATTTTTTGAAGTGCGAACTGCGAGTTGGCTGAAACAAAAGTAAAGGGCTCCCGAGGGCTTAACCTTGGTCCACGTCTTTACTTGCGATTATCGCAAGTGTAAACCGATATCCCCGATCTGTGAAAGCAATCAGGCAATTTAATCAAATAATTGGGCAAAATCCAGTCGTAGCCTTAAGATGACAGGGCAGAAATTAAATTTAAAAATTTAACATACAAAATGTTATCGGTGAAACAAAGGTATCAGCTGATAAAAAACACAAAATTTCTTTAACATTTTCTGATGTAATTTCATGACTATGTTTCGCAAACGAATTGGTAGGTGAAATGATGAATGAATTCTTTATCAACACCATTATTTAAGCTTAGCTCTAGTTTACATGCCGGTTACTACCGTCGAAATTGACCGGAAGCAAGAAGCTGTCTCCCCTGGGAAATAAAAAGGCGAAACGGAAATGTTTTTGCAGAGCAAAAATTCAAAATAAATATTTGAATTTTTGGGAACGTCGACACACGGCCAGTCATGGCTTTTCCCCACGTCTAACGTGAACGCCATTTTCTGGCTTGGCTTTCGTTTTAACTTTTGCTGCCATAAATTGCACCAAAGTGCAGCTGCCACGCCGGCGTGTATTTATTTAAAAGTGCTAAAATATTTGCAAAACGCTTCACAATTGCATTTCGCCCAGGACCGATCACCCTTTCATCCACCTGTCGGCAGGGGGCACGGAATATTTTTTTGTCGACCAGCAACAAAATATATCTCTCGAATATATATCAAATGCCTAAGCCCGCTGCTGCCCCCTTCAATAATTGCATTAATATGCAGTCAACAAAAAATGCCAACAATATTTAATTAAATACCAGTCAGGGCATAATTGATTTTTCAGCTCGAATGCTGGAAAAATGCAAAAACCACATGAGCTGACCAGTTCGGTAATGGAAACCAACTACTAAACAGAGCTTACTGGGAAAAAGAGCGCAAACAAAATCAGAGCTGCGGTGTGTTTTGTGTGTAGGATTTACGCAGACTATAATTAGGTCAGTTCCTGATTGAATTTGGCCCATTCGATCGGAAATCGGTAGATGCGGAGGTGAGGCGCTTGACTTTAAAGCTTCTAGGACACACACGCCTCGCTGGACAGCGAGTAAACATCGTATAGTAGAGTTTTATTATTGTTATCCCAGAGTGTCCTCGAAGAGCACAAACAACTTCCAGTTCAATTAAAAAAAAAAAGGAAAAAATGGAGACACAGAAACAACAACAGGGCAACGAAAACAAATGCCAAAAAGTTACCCAAAACTAGCACAAAAAGCGCACGACGCTTTGAGTGTTTTTGTGTTTTCTCCTACAGAGTACAGCCAAATGTAAATTCAATTGCCGGCTGTGCGCCACAGGATATCCGGCTGGCAGCCATTTTTAGGCATATCGCATGCCTTGACCGGCCAGCAAACTAAACAATAAAATTTCATGGCCTTCGGCCCGGAGTGCAGCAGAAAGAACAACACTTGCGAGCCAATACGCTCCTCCAATGACTGGGAGGGGTTCAATTCCAGCCTCCCCAGAAGCTGGAGCCATAAATCACAAATTGAGCTGCGGTGTCCACTCACTTTGGGCTGCAGTCGTCCAGTCGCCTAGCCGCCCAGTCGGTGGGTTGTCCTGTCTGTGGCTCGTATATTATGAGCTCATATTAAAACATTTTACACACAATTTCGCCTGCAGTCGCCTGGCAAGCAGTGGCAGCCTCCACTCCAGGCATGAATTATTATGCACCTAGGCGTCTACGCAATGTTTAATTTTCAACTCGAGCAACGCGCTCCCTGCTCACATAAATTCCTAGGGCGGCCGACAAACGACTTGTTCAATTTCTCCGCTCATACACATCCACATCCATATATATTCCCATCCTGAGCTTGTCCTCTCACGAACTAGACACGGAAGCTGCCGGGAAGCACTCAGAAAATATCCGAATTTCTTAGGGGAAGGTTTGTATAGAATAAAGTAAAGAATTTGTGGGTTTTTTTTAATTTTACATGCTTAAAGATAAGGCTGTTATGTTACTAGTAAAAAATTTATTCGCGATAGAATAATGTCCTATTTTCCACCAAAATTCTATATTTTTTCTAAGTGCATGATGCAACTGTGTGAGCAGAAGAAACTATTCGAAGGAAGGAGAAGTGACTTTTTTGCCAGGACCAGACTACTGCTGATGGCGGACCACGTACACATGTCGAAAACTAACTGCAGCCGCCGCTGTCCTCTGCTGCCCCTCTCCCCATTGCCCTTTGGTCCTCGTCATCATCAGGAGCTGCAAAAATTTCAGCCATTTGTCCTGCATGCTTGCGGCATAAAAATATGCCAGGGCCAGCATTTTCATGCGGGTCATCTACTTGGAGCCGGGCTCCCTAGAACTCCATGCCCGAGCTCCGATTCGGACTCCAAATGCAAGTGCAGCGCTTGAAAGGCAGGAGGCTACGTGTGTGTCTGTGCCCTCAGAGAGTTTTGGGTTTTTTTTCGGGGGCACCAGCTTCTGTGGCGCAACTTTTGGGGCAGGGCAAAAATCACACAGAACACAGAACTGGGCAAAAATAAAACTACTCCTAGTTGGCTGGAAAATAACAAAGGGGCGAACGAAAGGGGCGTTTAGCAAATGGACTCTGGCTAAAAATGCTGCTGGCACTTTCGCAAAACATTCCAAATACAAACACAAATAAAAATCCAAGGCATGCGAGTCACAGCAATCATTTCCAATGCAAAATAAAATTCATTTTGTTTTACTTTTCGACGGCATTTGTCCGCCGCCTGTCTCTCGGACAGTTGGACATGTTTGTTTACGCTTCATCATGTCGTCGTTAGCTGCTGTCCGAGGACTTTGTTCTCTGGCCGTTTGGGTGACCAGCTCCCAATCCTCCGCACCCTTGAAATGTCCTGAACCAATGACACGATGACATTTTAATATGGCCCGTAACTTTTGTTTAGTCTGAGTCCTCTCATCGTCATCGCAATTTGCCCAGAGATTTCCAGCTGTGTGCACAGGGCTAATTCAGTTTTATTAAATATTTTTCACGCTTCTCGCATCCATTTCCATTCTGCCATTTATTATTTCGCTTCTCTTAGGTAAATTGCTGCCTGATTTGTTATGAATCGAAATCAAAGGTAATGTAGCGCATAAAATCAGAGTCATACAGACATGGAACACATATCGCTAACCAAGCCCCAAGCCCCAAACCCCAAACCCCAATCTCCAGCCCCATCCCCATATCCATGCCGCCTGTCTGCGTCTGTTGCACGTTC